CTTGATAAGAACTGATCACATCCATTCATTTCTTTCTACTGAAAAGCTTTTTTACATGCAACAAAAGGTAAGCATAATTTTGTTACAGAAGAATTACATGGTCATTGTATTTGCTTAATGTGTTTACTGTTTAAAATTGTTTCTTCCATACAGAATGGCAGCGTGGTAACTTATAAATCATGTAGTTGACAATGGAACTGTGGAGCAGAGAGGGTTAAAAGGTCTGTCTGACATTCTGAAATGTGTCTTTAATAGGCACAATAACCCTTACCAAATCACTCTGCCTTTTGGGGGACCTGGTTTACTCACCTTTAAAATTGTGTCTTACCATCTTTATCTCGTGTGGTTGCTTTGAGAGCAAAATAATTCTTAACAGGAAAGTACACAGAAGTCCCTAACAAATATTTTTTGAAAAACACACACCCACAACCCACAGCACTCCCTAGTCTGAATTTCCAGTTTGTTTTTTCAAAAAGCTGCAAGTAGGTAAAGTCTGCCACACTAAGGCTTCTCCACATCATAAAACACAAAGGACCCATAATAAGACAATGAGGATGGACTGCTTCTGATAGGAGTAGTCTCCAAATGTACCGCCCAGTACAAAAAGGGATACACAGGCAAATGTTTATAGAATACAAATTTTATATAAAAATAAGGGGAAATGATAATACATATACTCATTTGTTTTGTTTTTGTTTACTGTTATTACAAGAACCTGGAATATTCTGAAATAATATGGTGATGCTGTAGAGACAGGAATAAAAGTGATACATTTCCTGAATTATATAATCATGAATTATGCCTTCTGAATTATGTAATCATGTTAATAGTTGAAAAATAAAGTTTTATAACTTCAAACTGCAACAAATGAGCCTAAGAGCAGATGAAATTAATACCAAGAGCTCTAGAAACAACAAAACTTACTATTTCAAGTGAAAATTTTTAAGACACAATTCTCTGAAATCAGAAACACCTGCCACAAAATCTTAAATTTCACTCAGTAGTTTTATAGTTTATGGTAATAGAGATGTTATTACTTTGAAACTTGTTACTATATATTATAGCATAAAATAAGCGTGTTGTTTCAAACTTGGATGTTTTTAGGTTAAAGAAATAAAAACATAAACCAAATAATTTTAAAAATATATATTAAAATTAATTCCAAAGCATCAACATTATTAACTTATGATTTGCATATATATTCACATATGTCACATATGTATATACATATACCATGTACATATATTCACACAAATATAGACACTTTTTTTTTTAAGTTCTGGTCACTGGAAGTCTAGAAGCAATACCACGCAGTAGAAACAAGCATACCTATTGCTTGGATCTTGGTTTTTAAACATCACTTCCCATTCTGGAGTATTTAGGATAATGCAATGTGATGTCTGCAACTTACTTTCAAATGATTAAAAAAGAAAATACACCTACGGGTAGAGATAGAGCATGCAAATGGTTCCCAGTTTGACCTTTCATCTTTTATCATTATGATTGTGAAAGCAGTTTGCATTCACTAAAGAATGTACTTCAAATTTTGAATTTCAGTCAGTTCTTGGTCTAGCAATATGAGTGTTATATATATTTAGTGTTATATATATTTAGTGATAATATATATATTGCCCATGTGACAATGTAGGATTGTTCAAAAGTGAATGATTAGGATATGAGAGCCTTACTTAATCAGTGGATTAATATGTTTGATGGATTAATAATTTGAATGGACTTTTGGGTGGCAATGGAAGGCAGGTGGTGGCACGGCTGGAAGTAGGTAATGGGTAGAGCAGGGGAGAAGTTGGGAATGGTATATCTTGTCCGTGGATCCTCCCTTCCACTTTGCTTCCTAGTTGCCATGAGCTTAGAAACTTTCTTCACCATCATCTTGGCCCAAAGCAATGGAGTTGGCTGACCACAGACTGAACCTCTGAAACTGTGGGTCCAAAATAAACTTTTCCTCCTCTCATTTGTTCTTTTCAGATATTTTTGTCACTGTGATGAGAACCTAACTAACAGACCTTGGCACTATCTCATGATGCCAGACAGAAGTGCAAGTCAGAGCTCTCAGTGAGCCAGGAGATTGTGACAGTGAACAGTGTCCACTCAACAGTTGCTTAGCTATGAAGTCCAGCAGGTGAGGTGTTTGAATGCTCTTTCCAATATTTTCAAGTGACAGCAGGGTTACTGTAAGTCCAATAGCCTCAATCACTATAGGCCAGGAGCATCTTTGTGTGATAAAGTTATTAAAAAATTAAAAGTAGTTGGTTGGGATACATTGTTTATTGTGTTATTGATTTATTTGTATATATAATGATTCTCATAACAAAATATTTATTGGGGAGGAAAAACCTACCCGGATTTTTTCAAGACAATGAGGATGGACTAGCAATATGAGTGTTATATTATATCTAGTTGAACCACTCAGTGCACAAAAGATATTTAAAACTGGTTACCTTTTCTTACATAGTCCAATAAAATTTATATATTCCTATATTCCTATATAGCAAAGGATATAGGACTTGAATTCAGAAATTTCCTAGACTGTTATAAGATTTACCATGCACTCAAAATGTTGCTCTGTGCATAGTTTTCTCATCTAAGAAATAGAAAATAAAATATAGAGTCTGATTGCTTAAGACACTGCTAGGCAAATCAAGTGAGACAATGATGAAGGCACTTCATATGCTGAACATGCTGTATGTCTCTGAAAGACATTATTTTTGGTAAATTTCCAGCTGTTCAGATCCAGAGGTTATTTTATAACCTGTGTGTCTCTGTCTGTGTGTATGTGTGTGTACATGTATAAATGCCTATCATCTTGGGTTATGCCCTGAAACTTGCTTCCTGAAAAATGAAGCATTTTTTAAAAATTTCATTGTTACACTTATTCTATATACCTCTAAGTCAAATATCAAAATTCAAATATTGAAAAAATTTTTCCTATGTACATATGAATGCATCATAGTGAATCTCACCATCGTGTACATCCACAATACTGGGGTCCTAATTAGAATAAGATATATTCCATGTTTGTATAATTATATCAAAATGGATTCTAGCATAATGTACAATTAAAAAGACAGTTTTTTATTGTTTTTGTTTTTTTTAGACATATAGGAGAGTGGTTTTAAAAAAATCCTTCCTGGTGAACCAGAGATACAGAATGCTTTTTTTTTTTTTTTCTCAGTAAAATTTTGTTGGAAGAGCAGAGGTTCTTGGGGCAGGTGGGTGTGTACTTCCACGTCACCTGTGTTATGTGCGTGTGCATGGGCCCAGGAGGATGCATTTTTGCCACTCCTTGGAAGAGCTTCAAAATATCCAGGGTAAGTATGTTGTTTGAATAAACACCCTCAACTCCCTCCTTGCCCCAGCCTGACTTCTTCATTTGTATATATTTTCCTCACTTTTACTTTTGGTCATGTTTGGAACAAATAAGATTGAAATGCTTCCAAATTCGGGAGGGTGCGAGGGTCCCTCAATGGCTGAGAAGCAGCACAAGGCAGCTGGAGTAGACTGAGCTCTTGACCTAGAGACTTCTCCTTGTGCCGGCCTTCCTCCCAGAGGCTCATCGTTTCCCTGCTGGTGACAGCAAATGGCTTCACCATTCATTGTTACCGCAGTGGTAACCTTTTGTTTTCAAAGGAAGCTGCTGAAGGAATGCTCAACTGAACTAAGCACACGTGACACAGCACACTGTGTCCTTCGCTAAGGGGACTGTGGAGGGGTGAAGGAAACAGCATCACTTCCCCAATTCCATGACTTTACCTAGAATTGGATTATGATAAATTATGGTGACAGAGTTCAGACAAGTGCTGATGGCATCCTTTCTGCTGTTTTACCTGCACAGCACTCTGAGGATCACATCCAGTCTCCCAAACCAATTCTCTGTCACTCATGGTTGAAAGTGAAAGGCCAAGGTAGAACCAAGTTTTTAAACAGTTTCTATGGAGATGGAATGTTGTATTTCCTCGCCTACAGCTTTGAACTTACTGAGGGATCACCACAGGTGTTTTTCTGATGAGCATCTTCCCACATATCTCCCTCAGTGGAAGACTTCTTTACAATCAAAGGACTTGTATACTGTGTGGCTAGGTGGGAGGTAGGGGCTCTCTTTCACTCTTTTCCTCTTGAAATAAGGTAGATAATCAAAAACTTCCTATTTGTTGTATTTGACTCTCACTGGGTAAACTAACAGTTATTTCATCTTTGATTGAAGTGTATAATTATGTTTTTAATTTAGAATATGAGGAAAAATATAACTTAATGAATTTTATTTTATGATTGGACTATTTTGAGGCCCAAAGGAGAAAGAAAAAAATGTTTGAAAGAGTGCTTGGTCGGAATGTTTTTTCTTCCTCAAAATTCATATGCTGAAACCTAACCACAGATGTGATGGTGTTGAGATGTAGGGCCTGGGGAGGTGAGCAGATCATGAAGGCAGAGCCCTTACAAGGGGCTCTTCTAAAAGAGGCCCCACGAGCTCAGCTGTCACTGCCCGTGTGAGGACACAGTGAGAACGTCCATGAGCCAGGGCTGGGAAACTGAATCCGCCAGCACCTTGATCTTGGACTTTCTAGCCTCTGTAGCTGTAAGAAATAAATTTCTGCTTGTAAACTATAGAGTTTATGGAATTTTGTGATTGCAGCCAAATGGAATAAGACAGAAAGTGAGAAAATCGATCCAGATAAAGGGAGTTTACAGCAGTTTGTTTGGAAATGCTGTGTGGAAGGCTGAAATTTTAAGTAGGGCTTTAAAAGAGAGGGACTTAGACAAACATGTTTTGGGCAAAGAATAGTGAGTTCGATTGTGGAGAAAAGAGTAGTGGACGTCAGGCTGGAAAACGACAGATGAAGCAGTTTTCCCCAGTCCTGAAGGGAGATTCAAAGGTCTGACCCAGAGGTCCATGGCTTAGATCCAGCCCAAGGAAGAACAGGGAGAAGATGAGGGAAAGCCTTTTGAAAATCCTGGGGCTCGGGTGGCCAGGACACTCCCCCCCATATTTGGAAGAGAATATGAACTAAAAATAGGTTGAACAGCACTTCTCTAGTGTGTGTCCACAGATAGGCTAGCCAATCTACAGAAGGCACAGCACAGCCACGGAATGCCAAGCCCCGCAGGGAAGAAAGTAAGACACCACGCCATTCACACAGTTACTGCCCTGCCTGTTTTTCCCTTGGAGAAGGTCTCACCAGAACAATTTTATAAGCCATCTTCAGTTCCCAGGTGAGTCCAAAAAATTCAGTTGCTATCAGGAAACACTGGAAAAGGGTAAACAATCACACTAGAGAAATGTACTTTTACTGCCATTTAAACCCCAACTAATGGTAACCTGTTTCTAATCAAACTGTGCTATAACAGCTGCACCTTATCAAGTTTCTTCAAGTGCCTAATGCCCTAATGCACTTCCTCTTTCTTATTATTAACTCCCTGACTAACCACTCATGCCCCCTTGAAGCACTAAATTACCCTGATTTTAGTGGCACCGCTCTCTTTTCAGGTCTCTCGTTTCTTTTCCTGTAAGATTCTCCCTGGGTTCAGTGGTCCCTCATTGCTCTTTTTACTTGGGACCTTGGTAAAGAATGTGGTGACTCCTCCCCCAGGATTTTAACATGATTCTCAATAGGTATATCCCCAGGTCGGATCATATATCCTTTTAGGCAATTCTACTTGGTTCCAAAGATAGATCAATCTCTTTACATCCCAGACCCAACTGGCCATCTTCCCATTTTGATCTGTTCTTGTTTTCTTTCTCCCAAAGGACAGCACCAGCACACAGCTCCATGCACAGCCTAGGTACCAGACGGCCTCCTCCTCTCATTTCTGCAATGAAGACTTGGTAGGACACACCCCACAGAACCCCAGCTCTCTTGTTCATGTTCACGTTGACTTCTGAACTTACCATTTCTTCCTGAGACTCCTAAATTAGTCAATTGGCCTCTCTTTCCCCCTAACCATTCTATCCTCTGGCACTACCACAATAAACTACCTAAAATGCCTATCAAATGCCATTCTGATAAAATGCTTAGTACCTGGCCTTCACCTTCAATGCTAAGACCATCTTCCAGGCAACACAAGCAAGCCCCTGCTGCATGGAACCTGTCTCTGGCTGCATGTCCTGTGTCCCCAGGTCCAGGAGGTCCAAAAATGTGACAAGTTCACCAAGATCACCTTGGCTTCGCAGATTATATTACTTCCACATTAAGTATTTTATTCCTTTCTTTGCCTTACTCCTTATCAGGCATGAATTTTGATATCATCTCTCTTGAGAAACTATCCACAAATCTCCAGCAACCCTGGGCCCAGTCCACGTCAGCTGCTCTCCAATGATCCCACAGCACTGTGTTTTCTTACAGCATATTCCTGAATTTTCATATCATTTTTCTGTCTCTTCCGCTGAACTATAAGATGGAGAACAGAGGCAGAGCCTCTTATTTCAATACTTCAAGTGTCTGCAGAGTCTATTACACTATAGTGTAAAAGGTGTTCAGATGTCTGTAAGTACTTAAGTCAGCAAAGCAAAACAATACCTAACAAATAAATAATCTGAGTGTTGGGTTTAATTCTTAAAGAAAACTAGTTTAATTAAACATGGATAAATTCATACAGGGAAAATTATTATACCAACTTAAATAGGACATTGAGACATTAAGAAAACAAACAAACAAGAACTGTATAGCCCTGAAATTTTACTTTTTAGTGTCTTAGTTCACATTTAATACAAGGTCTTCCTACTAACATGTGCAGATTTACATCCCTGTGACAGGACAGTTTTTGGTGTTATAATTTTAAAATGCTGAGAGGAAGGGGAGGAAAAAGAACCTAGCAGGAGAGGAAAAGGAGAGAAGAATGAACACTGAAAACCTCCCTTGGAGGCTGGGCAAGTCTGAAGCCATGGACAAGGGGATGTGGAGGGGAGGTGGGTAGCATGTGTGCTCCGGCAGGGAAGTGACTATGGCCCTCGCACAGCAGAGCAGAGGAGCCAAGGGAGAGGAGCAGGCCCAGCAACCAGCAACCAGCAACCGCACTGTTGGGAGGAGGGCCTTCAGGTGAGGCACTGAGCATCCTCACCTGGCCAGACCTTCCCAGGCAGGGAGGACAGAGCAGCATTTGCCCTCTGGAGGAGGAAGGCAGGTTGGGAAGGCTTGATGCAGAGGGCTACTTCTAGATTAGATGCCTGTGGTCCTCTTCTAGACTGGCACTGTGTGAGATCCGCTTAATGTTCAGCACCAATTTGTTTTTGTTTTCTTTTGTAAAAGTAATTAATTGTAAAAATCAATAGAGAATAATGCGATAATTCAATACATGTGTAGAGTGCGTAATGAACAAATCAGGGTATTTAACATTTCCGTCTTCTCAAATATTTTTTAAAAGATTATTGATTAATATTAAAGAATCATACATATTTAAGGGGCTTGGTGTGATATTTCAATACATGTACAGAATGTGTACTGATCAAATCAGGGTAATTAACATTTCCGTCTCCTCATTATCTTGTGTTTGGAGCCTCTTTTAGTTATTCATACAATACATAATAGTTTATCATGAGGTAGAGTAACTCCTCCTCTGTAGAAGACCAGAATCCATCACTTCTATGGAACTGTGTGTAAGTTCCCTGATCCAACCTCCCTCACCCTCCTGCCCCTTAAAGCTTCCCAGCATCCAGTAATTGCCATTATACATTCCACAATCAACTTTTAAAAACATCTACATTAAAGAAAACTCGTGGTAATTTAAGAAGTGTCTCACTTCTTTCACTTAACATAATGTCTTCCAGGTTTATCCATTTTGCTGTAAATGATAGGATATTGTTATTTTTTAAATATTTATTTTTTAGTTGTAGTTGGACCCAGTACCCCTATTTTATTTACTTATTTTTATGTGGTGCTGAGGATCGAACTCAGAGCCTCACATGTGCTAGGCAAGCTCTCTACTGCTGAGCCACAACCCCAGCCCGGATATTGTTCTTTTAATGGCTGAATAAATTCTAAGGTGTCTATGTCCCACATCTGTGTTATCCCTTCTTTCATTGATGGCACTATGTGTCAGCAACAATGAATACTGCAGCAACAAGGATATGCACGTATGTGTCTCTGATATCAGCACCAATTTTCCTTCAAAGAATTACTATAAATATCCTTGGGCAGATCTCATAAGATTCTCTGCAAATTCCTATATATAAAATGAACTTTTCAATACTGTTTAGACTATTGGTTCTTTGCTGCCATAAAATTTATATCCGAGTACAAGGACAAGCAAATGACAAAAGTTATAGAAGAGAGAGGGAAGAATTTAAAAAAAAATTTCCAAAGAAAGGAATTCAAATACGACAACAAAGAGAAGATTTCAGAGTTGTCTGGAATTGAAAGCTCTCTGCCCCCATTTCAAATCATGCTGAGATTCACTTCTTGGAGGCTATCACTGACAAGACTGCTTGACATGGGTATGGATTGGTACAGGGACCCAGGACTTGAGCTCTCAGTAGAAATATTACACATGTCAAATCTGCGAAATGAATATTCAGCTTTACTCAGACTATGAACACTTTCTTATCCTATTCACTACCAGTATGACAAACATATAATATATAAAAGGGCAGGCTTCACCCAGCAAATAATTAATCTGATGAGAGAAAGCAAGTGGCAGTAAAACATAACTGAGATCACAAGGAAGGCATATTTACAACACATTTAGAAGTTTGCTCAACTGAGATAAAGACTGACAGAAGTCTGCTCTGTAACACCAGCTCCGCATCCGGTCCTGGAATCCTGATTAGGAATCACTGAACAAGGTTTGGGGTAATGTAAAAGGCACGCCTTATTAACTCCAGGACATCTCATTTCTTGGTCATAAATCCTATTAACTTGTATTATAAACTGTCATAAAACTTGGAGATAAAAGATAATTTATGCTCAGTGTACAGAAGCTCATGTTTCTGTGCTCCTCTGAAGCACAGAACCAGAAAATGAGAAAGTGTGTATGTGAAACCTGGGGCCACCCACAGCCTGCACAGGCAGCATGATAAACACAGCCCAGAGCGCTGCCTGTTTTCTGAGGGAACACGGCCCAAGGGGTCACGGACATCAGTGATGCTTCACGTTGGGGCATCTCCTTTTTCGTGAGCTCTCCTGCTCACAGAAGGTGATGGTATCTTATGAAGAACACAATTTTTTTTTTTGAGGGGGGGAGTAAAAGAGGGAGGCTTACTTTTGAGGAAAGAAATATTATGCATCCTATTTTAAACTTCCATTTCTAGATGGCAGATTGAATATTTCCTTCAAAGAAAATACAAGCTAAGGTTTTCAATCGTAGATATTTTGACCTGTAGTAATTGACATATTCTAAAATACAATATAAAAATTTATATGCTTATAACCCAAGCATATTCATATTGATGCAGAGCTATATACTTCCATGACTTTGTTTTAAAATCCAACTTATCATAAATAAAAATAAACCACCGAAAGGGGATCAAAAGGAGAATGTAGACTAGACTGGAACACACTAAACAAATTTCAGTGAACTGCTTCTAGATATAAGGCTCAGTCCCAAACGCCTAACATAACTCTAATCAATGAACCATCATTACTTATTTATACATTCTAGTCACATGACAGTCTCACATGTAGACTCTCCAAAAGAAGCACAAAACATCACAGTCATCACTAAGAAGACTTGAGGGTAAGATCAAGAGAAGCACATTTTAGTTCTAGGGTCAAGGAACATCCTGGCCAATTAATGTCAATATGGCAGAATCAACAATAATTCTCTTTCAGTGGTAAAATGTTTACCAAACAAAGTGCTCCCATAGAGAACTTATTCCTCCTGCTATCTTTTATGTCAGATAATTTATAGTTGTAAAGAAAATTTTAGAAAGCAGTTTTCTCAAGACTAACATTCATGATAATTAACATTTATATTGAATTTTACTATTTTAATGTATGTTAACAAATCTCAATGGAAATTCATTTAATTTCTTTATAAAATAAAATTGTTGTTATAGGAAGACATTTTATAGTTTAGCATTTTTCTTTAATTTAGAGGTACAGCAGTAAGGTGGAATGTATATTTAAAGTGAACCCAAGTTCTGTCTTATTTGAAAAAGACTTTGTAGGAAAAAAATTTCTATATGTGTGTATGTATACATAAATGTACAAATATTTATGTACATATATTCACATACACACACTGCTGGCCACTCAGGTAAACACTGCTTATGGAAAATTACCAGTCTATGGGCTGTGACTTGTTTTAAGAGCTTGTCATTTGTATTTAAGTCCATTAACCCCATGAAAGAAGAAATGCGGTGTGGAAAAAGTATTGAGGCAAAACCTTTATTACCTGTCCTGCTTTCCTCACAGTATTGCTATGAAGTTCAAATGTGCTCCAGCTTGTAAAAACATCAAATATTTTCCTACTCAACAGTGAGATGTGTTGATTCAAATAAAGTTAAGAATTTTTAATGTCATTCTTTGTCATTAGACACATCAGACTGTACTAATCTTTGCTGCACAATACTTCAAATGGTTTCAGGTTAATTCTGTAACATTCCTTCTGCCTATCCTGACTGTGACTGTAATTCTCAATAACAATGAACAGCAGCCATGGACCACCTATTCTGAAGGCCCCCACGTTTGCACCTCCACCTTTCCTTACTGGCAGCTAATGTCTTTCCCATGAAGATTCTGTTCAAATGTAAGTTCAGGAGAATGTATGTTCCAAGAAAACAAAGGTTTTTGCCTGTTTTGTTGATTTCTTATCCCTAGAAAGGAGCCTGGCAAATAAAAGATATTCAACAAATATTTGTTGCACTAATTGAGAGACTAAACCATGTGTGCCTATGCAAAGCTTTTCCTTACTACACATGCCCAAATTATTTGTTCTCTCATCATCTTTATGCACTAATCTCTTAATGACATTACTGCTATCATTTAGATCTTCAGAGTCCCCCACAAGTCCATGTGATAAAGGCTCGGGCCCCAGGGTGGTTCTATGGGGAGGTGGGGCCAAGGGAGGTCTCAGGTCATCAGGCATGATCTCAAAGGGTAGTGGGAACCTGCCGCTTTCTTATTTTCTTTTTTCATGACTTGGCCACGAGATGAGTGGTTTTATTCCACTATATTCCTCCACCACGATGTTCTGCCACCAGCCCAAGGCAACAGAGAAGAGCCAATGATCAAACTAAAGCCTCGGGAAGACTGTGGGCCAGGTAAGCCTTTCCTCCTTATAACTTGATCACCTCAGGTATTTGTTATATTAACAGAAAGCTAACACAGTTATGAATACATTTTTATAAATGTCTCCTCCACGAGACAGGAACCAGAGATCAAATGTATGACTAATCCCAATGTAGCAGGTGCTATATAACTGCTAAGTAAAGAAAGAATATGGAGTTTGAGATCTGAATTCCTCAGCTCCTCTTCCACATTTTCCTAGGAAGCACCAAGTCCAGGTGATATAAAGAGCCAGAAAAAGATTTAAAAACAAAAATTAAAAAAAGGATAAAACAAACAAAAAAAAAAGATAAAACTTGCTCAACAATGCTCAGTATACATTTGACTAGCTATATTAAACAAATTTTTCACAATGGTATACTACAGCAAAAAAGAAAACAACTGCCTACTATCTTTTAAAAAATATATATATATATATATATTTTGGTACCAAGGATTGAACCTAGGGGCACTTAACCCCTGAGCTACATACCAGCCCTTTTTATTTTTTATTTTGAGACAGAGTCTCACTAAGTTACTTAGGGCTGTGCTAGGTTGCTGAGTGTCAAGAACCATCTGTGGGCCCTGTGCAGACTACATCGCACATGGCAGCCTAATGAATAGGAGAATCTGGTGTCTAGGAACTTCTGGTGGCCATTTCCTCTGGCTTACTGCCCAGATACACTCTGAGCCCTATTCAAGGTCTGCCAAAGTTCCCACACAGCACTGGAGATGGGGTGACCTGCTGTAGCTGCACAGCCCCTCTGAGATGGGTGTGACCTGCCAAAATGCCAATCAACCTGCTGAGGGCAAGACATCATGAAGCAAGACTCCACTCCTTAAATCTTATCCCTGTCTTTAATGTATGCCCTTAATAAACCACTGGATTTATCAAGGGCTCCCTCTTTTGAAAATATCTTTCTGACTTTGTCTTTTTTTATTCATTATTATTCTAGACTTTAATTTCTTAGGTGGCTTTCATCCTCCTGAGTAGGAAGAAGTATCCCCTAACAAAATGATGGACCCCTCCCCATAGCTGAGGTTGGCTTTGAACTTGCAATCTTCCTGCCTCCTGAACAGGGATTATAGGTGTGTACCACTGTACCCAGCTGCTGATTTCTTTTTAACTAAAATCTACCAATAAACCTTATAAAATTTGTTTATTTATTAAGAATTCTATTCTATGCCCTACATTGATAGAAATTTTCCTGATACTTATCATTGGATAAAAATGACATCATTGTTAAAGATTTGCTTTAAGGAGTAAAATTAATTATCAGGCAACTTAGGAGTAGTAAAAGCTAAACATTTGCTTTCAAGTACTTAACAAAATCAAATCCAGTTTCCAATTACAAGGACAAAACTCAAAATATATGAGAATTCCATTTGATATATTTGCCAAGTCTTGTGTTTCCCTTGTGTTGAAGGTTTTCTCAAGTGTCATTCACATTCAACTGTTCTAAATGCAAACGTGCTAAATTTAATTCTTACTCAATTTAATTAAAAGTTACAAGATTTTCTTTTTCTTCTGGCTGCAATAAAATGTAAACTTTGAGATTTCTCTGCCTTGGTGCTGGGCAGGGACTTGGGGCCACAGAGGAAAGCAGCTACAAATAAGCAAACAGTGTACTTCAGAGTTAAAAGACAGCGAGGCCAAGGTTCTCCGCATCTTCTAGAATGCTAGAAGTATTATGGAAGGAAGTACTGTTTTATTTACTTTTTCACTTACTGGCTGGAGAAGGTAGATGAGAGACTCCTCTTGGATCATGATAATTGGCAGAGGCGTGATGTGAGTGGCTTGGAACAGGGTGTTCACAGACGCCATGATCTGGTCAAAACGCCCAGCAAGGCCTCCCAGTGTCACGATCACGTCCACCTAGGTAAGCAGGTGAAGTGGGAAGTCACATGTTTAAAGAAATTAAATAACCAAGTGGCATTAAACCCTGAATGGAGCTTTCGATACTCTAGGCTACTTATTCAGATGAAAGAATTTATGCGCTTTATCGAGCTCACATAACTGGAAAGTGGCAGAGCCGGGTATCAAGAACTCTGGACAACCATCTCGAAGTCTTTCCCAAGTGCCTATTTACCTAGAAAACTAGCTCACTCTCCCCTTAACAATCCACTTGTGTATTCCTTTCATGTGGGTGTCTTTGACTTAGCACAGTCAAAGGTGATGTTTTGTTTTCTTTTTTTGCGGGGGGTTGGGGGGAGATGGGGGTTTGAGGAAGTTAGGGACGTAACCGAGGGCCTGGAGCTTGCTAGGCAAGTACTCTATCACTAAGCTATATTCTCAGCCCCAAACTGCTATCTTGATCAAGAAAGATGGAGGATGGAAGAACTTAATTAAAATATTTTAGGAAAACCTTATATAATATAGAAACTGACAATAATAATAATTGTTATAAAATAAAATTTGCTCAAAAACAAAGAGTCTTTGAGTTTTCAGTTTTGAAAGAGTACATTAAAGAAAAAAAACTAAGATAAAATGTAGTCCAACCCTGATGTACCAATGGTACCCCAATGTGTAATTCCTAGGGGCATAAATAATGTTTTAGCTCCAGAATCCGAAGGATATGAGGTTGGTTGATTGGATTTTTATTTCATTTTAGTTATCTTTTTGTTTGTTCATTCAATGGCTATAGCTCTTGTGACCTGATGGTGCCTAACACATTAAAAGATGCTCAAGAGTTTGATGAATTAATAGATGAAGAGAGTGCAACAAAAGACTTGCTGGCCTGGGGAAGAATCAGAGTCACTACCACACTGTGGGATCATTACAAGATTAATGAAAACATTAAACACACAATACATGATGGAACCATGAAACTTGGAATGGATTTACTATTTCTGAACATATCAGAGAGTAAGGGAGAACAGGAATTATTACTTTGGATAAGGTGGGTTTGTGTCTAAGCTAGACTATTTTAATGTAGGCAAATCATACATCTATAGGAGTACTATGATCTTTGGAGAGATTTTTCTACTACTCCAAGAATTAGATTGGGGGCCCCAAAAAGACCATGTACCCTAGGAAACATGTGACCACGTACCTTAGGAAACATATATTAATCTGAATAATAGGTAAAGACAGGGACCCCTATTAGTCTTCAGAGGAAAGAGATAACTTGTAAGTAATTAGATTTGCCAAAGGCTTCCTTCCGGGGTATCAAGTGGTAGCATCTCAGGGAGGTCTTTCTGGGAAGCACACTCCAGTGCAGTTGAGAAGGACCCAGAACCCCACATGACCTCAGGAAAATTACAGAATTTGCTTTAAATTGAAGAGAAATGAAACAAAAGAAGTTGTACATGAAATATGGAGACAGTTTTAAGGCTCCAATGGAAAGAACATTGGCATATTCATATCCACATAATCCTAAATTCACATCAGAAGCAAGGTCTGATAGAAGTTTATTCACTGTGCAGATACTGGAATCCCTTTTCCAGGTTCTCAATTTTTCATTACTACACTCTGGGCCTTGAGGGATCCCATAACCTTTAAGGCTGAAATTTAATTCCCATCTTCTACAACAGGATATCATGATGAATAAGCAATATCTGTAAATCAGTCACTGAATTTTTCAGAAGAAAGGAGCAGCAAGATTACTTCTCATCACTACTCATTTTCCCTACAGGAAGTATTTAGCAAGATTGATTAAAAACATTAGCGGATCAATGCAAGCTGCAGGTGGGGTGGGGGAGGGGTTGCACCCACCATTTCTGCTATTGTCTAGTCCTAGCTGCAAGTGGGACCAGAGATTCACAGAGAAGGAGGAGAGAGGGAAGACATCACCCCTGCATATTTGCATAGGTTTTTACAAAGCAAGACTGACATCTCTGAGACAGTTAGTGCCATTGGGACAGGGCCTTCCAGAGAAAATAGGCCATTGTGGATGGCACGAGTGCCTTTTCTAGGTGGAGCCAAAGCTTTTATTTCCACATTTATTTCTAATGTCACCAGTCATGCTTTGTTATAATCTTTGCTATTCTTATGTGTCTCTCCTTTTGGAGGAAGCACAAGAATCCCGACTCTAGCACTGCGTTTGCATGGGCATACACAACAGGTATTTACTGAGCTCCCCTAAGCATATAAAAACTCAGGAAAAAACATTGAAGATAAATAACCAGAGAGGCAAGAAGCTAATTATTAATTAGGCTGCGTAAACACCATCTAATTCCTACAAAATACCTCCCTACTTGGCACGGGTCCCAATAGTTAGTAGCTTTTTAAAAGTCAGCATGTCACATTTATTACCTCATACACATGTTGGATGAATTCATAAGTTTCATTTGTAAGCTAATGACAAATTGGAAAAACCCAACAAATACTTAGTGATTATTTGTCATGTGCTGGGATATATCAGTAAGAAAATGAAAGTCCCTTCCTTCACGGGGTCAACATTCAGATGAAGGACAACAAACACTCCTAAAAATAAAAAATAGGCACATTATTTGGAATGTGGAAAAAGTGGTAGAAGGAGCATAATAGAGACAGGGAAACAAAAAATGCTGGTGGAGAGGGCGCTTCAGTTTAGAATGAGGGACAGGCTGCATTGGAAAGACATAAAAGTGGCGGCAAGAACCCCAAAGAGGTTGAGGGACTTAAGCACACCGGGGCACTGGGGCCAGGTGTGTGGGGGAGACGCTTCAAAGAATGAACTAGAGGCAGGGAGAAGTCACATGGCCCCAGGCATTATCAAAAAGCTTCAGGACGCTAGTGGCAACTGAACAAGAAATTTACAGCAAGTAAGAAAAATCAGAAAAATGTGAGTGCTAGGCTTATACGATTCTCTCCTGAGTTTCAAGAATGCTAACTGCTCACTTAACATCTGCACCTGGACATCGTGCATCAGCGACCTCAAGGTGGATAAGCGATATCTTCCTCACTTCAGCTGCTCTTATCATGGCTGCACATGGGATCCCAGTCTTCCCGGACCTGCTTCCTTCCACATCTTTATTTATTCCCTCAAGAAACTGCCACAGCTCCGTTTTTTGAGATGTATCCAGAATGTCTACTTCTCACTCCCCGTGACCTCATCACAACTGTGATCAAGCCACCGAAACATGACGGGGTGTGTGAGCCGCGTGCATCTCACAGGACTGCCACAATAGCCACCAGCAGGTCCTTCTGCTTCTGACTTGGCTCACTCACAAACTAGTCTTACTGCGGTTTCAAAATAATCCTGTTAAAATGTGAACACATTACAACATTCTTCTGCTCAAAATCCCTCAACAGCTTTACAATACTCCTTTTTCCCTTTTCCTTTTGTACTGAGGATTGAACTCAGGGGTCCTTAAGCACTGAACCACATCTCCATCCCTTTTTATTTTGAGACAAGGTCTCCCTAAGTTGCTTAGAACCTTGCTGAGTGGCTGAGGTTGTCCTTGAACTTGCGATTCTCCTGCCTCAGCCTCCTGAACTGCTGGAATTGCACGTATGTGCTACTGTACACGGCAGTTTTCCAGATTTCACTAGAAGCTACAAAGCCCTGCAGGATTTGATATCTAGTTACCTCTCTGACCTTACCATCTATTTCACTTTTCCTTTTCCTCTCTGCTTCAGCCATATTTTCATTTCTTCTAGTTCTTGAAGACACCAGTCCCTCCTACTTCAAGGACTCTGTACTTGCTTTCTGTCTGGAGTGCATTATCCCCAGATATCCCCTTGGCTGGCTTCTTTACTTCCTTCATTGGCCATCCACCTAAAACTTCCCCTCCTTCATGGCCAACAGTTCATATTGCCATTTTTAGCTTTAGATTTTTTTTCCCTAGCACCTCTCGAAATCTAACCCCATGCCAAATATTTTACTTATTAAGTTTGACCTGCTGTCACCCCAGTCAGGTGATAAGTAATATGAGGGAAAAGGTTTCCTATCTCCAGTGCCTTGAGTGAAGCATGGAACACAACAGGTGACCAGAGAATGTGTGTTGAACAAAGGAGTGAGAGAAACAAGGGCTCCAGAGCGTGGCCAGGGGACCCCAGTGCTGGGGAACATGAGGAAGTGCTGCAGCCAGGGCCCAAGGGACTGGGGCAGAGGTTTTTAAATCTTATGATGGCCAAGGTCAAGAAATGTACATAGAATTGCGCAACCGAAGTAAAGAGGTAAACAAGATAACCAAGGGAGGCACGTAAGAAAACCAGAAGTACATGTATCAGAAGGTATATCTGAATGCACACAGGATGTACCATGAATTAAGACATACTGACTTAGCAGTCAACCTCACGAGACGGGAGGCACGCGGCCAAGACTATGACAACGAGGACTCCAGGAGCACGCAATAAGGACGAAACAATGTGACAACAGGAGGTTCAGACTCCAGAGAGTGTTAGCCAAGAAGAAAGGAAGAGTGCTTTCCAAAGGAAATAAAATGAAAGCCACATAGGGATTTTAAAATCAGCTACATTTAAAGAAGAAAAATGAAAGATTAATTTTGACATATTTTAATGTGAAGGATGTAAATATCAGCATTTTACCATGGAATCCATGGAACAATAATAATGAGATTCGGTACATTCTTTTTTACCGGTGAGGTCCCCAACATCCACCATGTATTTCACCCGATTGCACATCTCCAAGCTCCACTAAGTGCCCAGGTGGCTAGTCACTTCAGCCATGAGCAGAGGCGGGTCTAGAAAAAGCACAGAGCAGTGAAGACACCTAGCCCTGCTTCCAGGGCCACGCTGGGGACGTGGTGGGAGAAAAGGCAACACAAGCAGCAGTACCCCCAGGGCTTCTGAGCATCATCCTCCTTAGGTGAGAACCCAGTCTCCGGTGGAGTCAGAATGTCAAGACACAACAAATACAGGAGGCTTCAGTGAAGACAGCCAGGAATTTCAGAGGTCACTGAAGGGGAAATGCTGTGTCCTTTGACTGA